TATTATTTATGTTGGAAGGTTTGTAAGCACAACATATATCTATTTTCGTAAACATTGCTTAGTAAGCCGGTGCAACCGTATGCGCCAAGTCGATGAAGACGTACGTAATCATCACAGTCGATCACTCCATCTCCGTTACAGTCCTATTTAATTAACGTTATGATTAAACGTATCATTAGCGTAGTATAAGACAAGTATAACCCAAAATCTGAATGTGAACATGTTGATCTTACCCGACTGTGTTTAGCCATGTACGCTTGTACTGTATAACCAGCGCAGTATATATTTTTGGCACATTCGCGATAAGCTACATTGGCTATAATGAAAAAAAACGATTATTAAGTATTATTATTATTATTATTATAAAAATGTATTTATTACTTACTAAAGTAAATAGGCATACAAACTATGGGCAGATTATACTAATATTGACTTAATACTAAATGCCATTATATTAGAGTATTCATGTAAAATCTGTATTATATAAAATAAAAAGTAACGAAAAAAGTCAATAAAATTATTGTCAGAATTAATTAATATTATTAGTATTGATACATAGAATTCTATAATACATATGAACTCCTTTATAAGTGTTCTTATTATAATTTTAAGAAATGAAACTAAAAATAAATTAATAACTGAAGTAAAAAGTCATATAGCGTTCGAAATTACCTTTCAAATATAATTTGGAATATCAAGAGACACGGTAGTGTCTCGTGCCAAGTGAAGCGAGACCGCACCGTGACTCTTTTACGTGAACGCACGATTTTAAAACAGTACTGCATTTCTATTTTAATAATATTGTCCTTTCTTTAGGTTTAATTAAGTTGGAAATATATAATTTACAAAGACACTACTTAATCAGATATCTAAATATTTTTACAAAAATATCGTATATTTTACGCTTTTATAGTTAATAATTAACGAATTTTCCGACACGTGCGGCTTCTGCAGTATTGCTCCGTTTTTAATCTACCGAATGGAGCAACCTTCTTAATGCGAATTAAATACATATACATTACGTAACATTTTTCTTCCATTTTTTTTGGAATGTAATACTATAGGGTTACTCATTCCAATCACGAAATGTATAAAAAAGTGCGATTGTAAATAAAGGGAAAATAACTAGAAATTACTATTTCTAATAAATATCTAAGGTATTTTGTACAAGAGAAAGAGTAACACACCATCGTCGTCATTGCTCGATTTTCCGTTTGGAGGTGGTTTGCCAGCGTCAACCCAAAAAGATTTTGTTATCGAAAAGGGTCCACACGACGTGTCATCGCAACCAATAGTAGTATTACATCCTGTGGTAATTTCGCATAAACAGTTTAAGCAAACCAGCGACATGAGTTGAGCTGTAATAAAAAATGTATATTTATACGTTATTCGTACTAAAAGTTAGCAACATAAAAAAAGCAACAGCTTTAATTAATGCACTATCATACGCAGAAATAATCCAGCTGAAATAGAATGCGTCGATTAAACAAGGAAATATTATTCAGTTATTAATTAATTTTCTAATTTTATTAAACAAGGTACATGTATCGCTTTGAGCAAAATACTGATAAGTAATTCTGATGGATTCTCTTCTCGTGTTCAACTTTCAAAATCAAGTATATATCACAATTTTTTTTATATTCTTGAATATAAAGGAAAATATTTATCACAATGTCAGTAATCAATTTTACAATTAATAACATTCTACTATCGCGAAGCAATAAAGAAGTAGAACAAATTATATTTGTATTAAAATAATCGATCAGGTTTTTTCGTTACTTTAATCTAGATTTTGTTACAAACAAAGTGCATCTGTTGCAATATTATTTTATCGGATTTTCTGATTAATTGCTATTTCTGTAATCATTAACAATGTTTTACGAAAACATAAAAAATTCAGAATATTAATCATGAAATTTGTTACGAACGGGCATACTTATTTTTGCCTACGATATCGTTTACGTCATTGGCCAAGTTATATCGCTTCACAATGAGCATGTTAGTTAAATGATTTTTATGATAAAACGTCACTAGTAGACTGTAGCAGACTTTAGGATAGTATAATATAATTATATAAATACTTTGTATTGAATGGTTATTAATAACTACTAAAAAATATACTTAATGTGATTAGAAAAAATGTCACCAGACAAATGAATTAAATATTATTTTTTATTCTTAACATGTGTTTATAAAAAATATTATATTAGATATATTTTTTTATTTATTATAGAGAAAGATTATTTAAAAAATAT